AGTTCATAGTAATGTTGTCATTGAATATAGTGTAGGCTTTTTATGGGAATACACAACTCTCAGTTTTGTCTCAATAAGGGAGAATACATTTGACTACACATCTAAGGGACTGACATAAAAAGAAGTTCCATTATATAATGTTTCTAGCTGGCAAACATTTTAGTAGATAATCACCATTTTCCATGCTCTCTATAGCCATTCTGAAGCAAAGCCGCAGCTTTCCACACCACCCTTTGATGTGCTAGTTAGAGCTGGTGATAAACAATGAATGTCTGCCTATAGTTTAAAATCCAGGCAAAGTGAAACTGCAAATGGGTGACTGCAGACTGCAGTTTACAGTTTGCAGTATCCCATGAAAAACTGATGCTAAAGGTATTTTTAATACCTATGGATGTTCTCCCACAGAAAATTATTTTGGTAACAATGAAAGCTCTTAAGATTAACCCATTCGCCCCTGAACCGCCCGTAACCGCCCGTGCGGATCCAGGTCCTTTCTACCCTTTGTGACGTCATCAGTTTTAACGATCAAGAACAACTTTCTTCGCACACGTGTGCAGAGTGAAGAGATCTTTCAAACCATACAAGAATGAGCACAATTCAGTCAAGGACACCGGAGAAAGAAGCAAAAAACCACGTGACAAGGACCTGAAAATCTCCATGAAAATCTTGTTCCATTACCCACCTACCTTTCCTTTCACCTAATCCTAAGATCCTAAAAGCTTTCCTAAAAACTCTTCCCACCAAAATGAAGCCTACTAAATGCCCAGCAAGAGAAAAAAAAAATGAGGCAAGAAAAGCGAAAAAAGAAGGGAGGAGAGAAAGCGAAAAGTAAAAGTCAAGAAATTGCTTTCTGTGCATGCCCGAACTTCGCAAGCTGATATTTTGCATCTGGATCAGAAGGCCGCCAAGTGTACGACCTGTAAACCGGTTTGTGGTAAGTTTTAGCTCTTTATAGCACGACAGTGACCAGAAAACCACTCGACTAGCTTCAAAACGCGTTTTTCGGCAAAATCTCCAGGAGCGAATGGGTTAAAGGATATTCAAAACAAGATTTAAAGTTCAAGGATTTTACATTGACTCAACTTAGATTCAAGAGCTTTTAAGAGGGTAGCTAAAATTCAAGAACTTTTCATATCTTTATGAACTCTATGCATCATCTGTGGTATCACAAAACGGTGTATGCCATTTGCAGACTGCAGACTGCAGACTGCAGACCGCAGACTGCGGCAGCAAGACTGTAAATTGAATGAAATTTAAAAATATCGTAATAATGGTGGCGTCATCAACATTACCTTGTTCTGAGAAGTACATGTAAGGCCTAGAAGCAAAGTTTATATTTTTCACGCAAATTACAACGACCTCATTCCTGAAGGAGTTGTTGGCTGTTCTTCTCGTATTGAATTAGAGAAGAATAATGTCTGCCGATGTCACAAACTCGCTCATGAATCCATAGCAACAGGCTAGCATTTAGCCTGCACCACAGACGAAACTAAACTCGGGTATAAGTCTGTCTGTGAAACAGCGCCGGAATCCTTATTCTACCGCCCCCCCCCCCCTGTGTACTAGGATTTGAGTGTAAGCAATGATAGGCCTGTCAAAAAAGCCATTGTCGATTTGCCTATTTAGAAATTCAAAATGCACTTCCGGTAATTCGTCGAGTCCAGGTAGGATCTGTTCGGTCTAGATTATTTGGCATATCCTGAAATACTGCTAAGATGAAACACTTCATTTAAAAGGTGTTAAATGTCCATGATCTATCCTAGTTGTTTTTGTCGACGTAACTGTAGTGAGCACAAAGTGCTCGCAATCTAAAAACTTTCTTTTTTACCGAAGACTACTATTTAGACAGGCATTAGTGGGTATAGCTACTTGTCATTATCAATTCACAATAATCAAAGAAAGATAAAGAATAACGCAATTAGTGATATGCCGGGTGAGTCAATAAAGAGTCGTGTCTTTGAAGAATAGGCAACAGCATCTTGGAAATGAGGCAAACGTAACTTTGCGCAAAAATATCAACCTTGTTCCCAGGCTACTTTCTCACTTTCACACGATGGTTGTCTTTACACTAGGCTGTTAAGTAAGACTTAAGAGCTGCTAAGTTTTACTTAACCAAAAATTTGTGCGTGAAGGCCTTGGTAAAATCTCAAGTAACTTTGCTTTGCATCTCATGAAAGTCGGAAAGTTGAAACGATTCAAGAAAGTTTCAAGCGACTTGAAAACCATCCTTATGACCGACTTGGCTGACTTGCGGTTTTGCGGTTTCTTGAGCTTTGAAAAAAGGTGAGACATGTCAATCAATCTTAATTTTGTTGCGTGGGAAAATAACCTGGAGTAAAAAAAAGAATCGGTTGTGTGTGAAGCTTTATTTTACTTGAAGTAAATATTAAAATTTACTTGCAGTCTTGAAATATTTCCTAGCTTATTTAGGCGCTAATGTAAAGACTACTGATGCTATATTTTTGATGGTATCACCTTTATTAGGAAGATTTTTGGTGTCTTTTAATTTACAATCTGCAATCTGTGGTCTGCAGTCTGCGGTCTGCTGTCTGCAGTCTGCTAATGACATACACCGACAAACATTATGTGAAAATGACATGATGAGCTTCCTACCCTTTCTATAAAAAGAGTTGTTAGTTTAGTTCTAACAATATTTAAGTACAGGTGACAATATTAGTTTCAAGTACTGTAGTGTTGAGATGTATGATAATATAAAAAAAAAAAGTACTAAAAAGGAAAATATAAAACTAACTTGATGTAGCATGACCATGCCTGTCATGGAAGTAGCCTTTGAATATAACTGACACTGTAATGAGTATGAGCGTGTTGCCTCAAAGCCTTGATTTGAATACTTCCTCAAGTTGAGGTGGTTTCTAAACAGCATGCTGGTATGTTCAGTGGTGATGTGGCCATAATCACTAGTGCCCAGGTTGCAGCAAAAGACTTCCCTTAAAAGAAATCCCCATTCTTTGCACTAAAAGAAAAAAAAGAGGCATATTTCCATGGGTGTTAAACAGTTGTCAAAATCAACATTGAAGACTGTGCTGTTAAACTGACAGCAGGTCTAAAATACAGGTAACTTTTCCACAGGTCAGAGTACAGTTCACCATGATACAGACAAATGAATAGAATTAAAAGTGTTTGCAAGCCCTAAACTCTTAACAAAATGCTCTTTTAGATAGAGGGGAATCTGTGTGGTTTGGCAATTCATCTATGGAGCAGTGACATGTACTTATTACCTGGGGAATGTGACCTGTACTTTGTGAATATCTTAAACATTTTGGGAGAGATAAACATGATTTTACTTTTAAAATAATAATGTATGTGCCTCATTCTATAATCAAACTTGAAGTACTGTTTGTTGTTTATTGTTGTAAAGACCAGCCTGAGTGTATTTCCAGGTTCAGATTATACATGACTGCAAATTTTTTGAACAGCGTCAAAATCTCTGATATAGATCTTGTACTAATATTTAGATCTGTTTTTTTTTTAATCTAAAAAATTGGATGTAAAGTTTTGCCGTACCTTTGTCAGATAGACACTCATTAAGCATTTCTTTCTTTCTTTCTTTTTTGTTTTTGAATGTCAGTTAAAGTGACTGAAAATTATTTTTGAATTTCTCGTCATGCAATGGCTTTTAATTGTTGCGCGGTCTCTGGTGAAAGATTTGCAAGAAAATCCACTACAGCTGTATTTAACCTTCTTGTCTAAATTTATTATTGTAATAGTTTTAGACAGTATGCATATTTTCCATTAAGAGGACTTCATTTCCAAATGGTACTTTGGGCAATTCCACATGAGAGGTGAAAAATCAATCATTTTTAAAAGAAGGATACTGGAATTAATTTCTGTGCCACTAAAGAGAAGACACATCACTGTATTAAAAACATACATGTCATTTCTGTTTTCGCCCTTCTGCACTCCGCAGGGGGTCTACTACTCAATAGGTCATATAAACAAAGAAAACATGGGACCCAGAGGTGCAAGTTAAGGAACAATAATTGTCAAAATATCAAAATCAATCCAGTCCACTGAAACTAAGGTATAATATATTAGAGCATAAGCCTTTTTTTCACACGAGAAAAAAATTTGATGGTTTTCAACAATTTTTCCCCATTTTTGGTTAGTAGAAAATATCTAAGTAGATGAGTAATGTCTGTAACAAAATTTCACTTCTTTCTTTGTGTCAGGCAGGATTTCACTCTTTAATCAATTGAAAATAACTTCTCCTACTCCTTGGATTTGTTAGTAACATCATTTGCCTGATAAGCTTTTTATTTCTAGTAGGCTTTTTAATCATAGACACTATGTCAAAGATAGGTAATGTCTGTAACGTAATGTCCATAACAATACAAGTCTCTAAGGCAAAAATGAAATATACGTATTCTTAAGTGTCTTTATACAAAATTTAATATCCAAAGGTATTGAACCAAGTGACAGTTAGGGTACCAACTGAGCTCTATAATTAATTTTATCCACAATAAGTGAAATAATGCTAAAGCTAAACAAAAGTTTCAGATTTGCATAACAAGAAATTCAAACAGTGCTGAGTAAGAAAACATGTTCTTCTTAAAAGACCAGAGTTGTTTTAATCACCTAAAAACTGATCAGCCGTGTAGCATCTTAATGAGACTTCCTTTGCTTTTTAATTTCTTTAAACCTTTTTTTCAATGTTTTGCTGTTTTGGAACAGCAAAGGGGCCAGCTCTGTCTAGGGAGACGGGGCCATAAAACACACAAGAGATGTGAACATCATCAACGTCATCCCGCCTGGGCCAGTCAAAACTCTTTGCACCCACTCGATGGAGGAACTTGAATCTTACAAAGCTATCAGCTTGACTGTGAGCACATGTCCAATGTAGTAAGTTTCCACATATTCAACAGCATAATACTGCTCAGGTAGGATGCCTTCTGGTGGGATTGGGTCACAGTAGCTTTCTTTGATGCAATTCCAACAGCATGAGTTTCCTGAAATCTGAGATGCTGGCATCACTGATTATCTCACCATAACCAACCCTGCAAGCATCTTGCATACAAGCAAGTGAACATTACACAGTCATAGTCATTGGTCTGTTCAGGAACATCTCCTTTTTTGTTCACTATAAGCTTGCACTGATTCAGGTCTACATTGCTGTTGATCTCTTTGAGAAGGCCACACATCTTAGAAATAGCATCAAGACTTGTATGTTTAATGTGGTTACTTGGCATACTGTCTAAGACAACAACAGATTTCTCCTTTGGCAGAACTGATAGAAGAGTCCAGTGCTCAGACTCTGGGGTATTGCATGGCATAAGGACTACATCCTGAAGCAGAAGTGGATTTCTCCCTTTCAACAAGCGATGCACTGGTAGTGAACCAACTGCTCTCTCAAACAACTCCCATGGCAAGGTTTCAACTGCCAAACTGTTGTTAGCTGCACAAGTCACTTGAATAAGCCTCAGGTATTCATCAATAATAAAGTTGGACAACCATTTATCTTGGATTTTCTTCCCCCTGCCATTAAACCATTAAGATCATCATTTTGAATCGTACCACCTCCTTCAAAGCTAATTCAGCCATCAGAAACTGCATTTACTTGGCAGTCTAAATGATGTGGAAGGCTGAACAAAGCACATCCTTTGAATATATCGGTGATAATAGCTTGTCAGAAAGGCCCTGCTGAACATGGATATCTTTCTTCTCTGACATCTCTTCCTCGTCACTTGAACTTTTATTTGCATTGCTGGCTCTTTCTTTCGCATCTGGACCACCTGAACCTTTGTGTCCAGTCAAACCTTCTTCTTCACTCGAGTCACCCTCTTCATCATGATTTTTACTGTCTTCCTTACTGCTCTCACTTGAACCTTCTTTGTACGTGTGATGGCTGTTTCTTGACGCATTGCTGAAAAAGTCTCCTTTCTCTTCACTGGTCTCATCTTCATCAGCACTGCTGGTACTGTTGCTTCCCTTGCTTAGAGAGGAAGAGTCTTGATCATCACTATCATTTTGATTCAGGTCTTCATTTTCTGAAGCACAAAACTGGACACCCATTTCAATCCAGGTACTCTGGTAAGAGAAAGTACGGCAACGAATATTGAAAGGCCATTCCTGAGTGGTTCTAAGCTGTGAAATTTGGCAATACCTGGGATTACTGGTGCAACAGAGAAGAATTTCTTTAATCCAAGTAAGTCTGCAGTAGCTTCTAATTCTTTAGATCCAACAAAGGTCACCGCAACAGATGTGCTCAACTTATTTGCAACACTTGCAAAAGAGCAAGCATCTTTGACTGCTTCCATCTTTCTTGTGGATACAGCATTCCAAACCATGCGCTTCACAGTTCCCCCGATACCATCAACAGCCCCTTTCCCATGTGATGTGGCAAAGTAGTTCCACTGGATGTTAAGACCTTGACCTTGAAGTAAATGGAGAAAATGGGCAATGTACCTGTTCTTGAACTGCGAGCTTGGTCCATCTGAAAATATCCAAACTCAAGTTATGTTTGGGTGTCTCCCCTTCACAAGGTCGTTGACAACTTTGCACATGAACACGGCAACAGATGTTTTGTCATGCTTCAAATCATCTGAAACAATAACGTGAGATTTACAACAGCTGTTTTTGTCTCCAGACTTTGTCCAGATTGCAACAGTGAACAGGGTAACTTGGTCTTGGCTCCAGTGTGCTGACTGAACTTCTCCCTGGTACTTGCAGCTGAAATTTTCAGCAAAATCAACTTGCACCACTGCCTCTCCCTCTGTCAGATGTTCCATCTTCTCTTTGAAAATTCTTGCCTGTTGTCGCTTTACAAACACATGTTCTAAGAATGATGGCAGCTGAACTTCTAGATCTTCCAGTAAATCATCAACAGTACCCTCTTTCAGAACTTTCTGAATTTTCTTTACCTTTCATGCTTTTTCCTTTCTTTGCCTGCACCATTTGTTCCACATGCTCCCACTGATACCATGTTGCATGCTCATCAAGGTTTCCTGCACTTGACCTTATTTTTTGCAACAAGCTGGGGCATTTTGCACACTTTTTACATTTGCCAAGCATGCAAAGTTCTGACTCAGGGTTGCAAACAAAATTTTCAGAAAAACTTCCTGAGTACAGTGGAAAATCATCTATTTCCTTATGCAGGCTCTCACAAAGCATTTTGACAAACATCTCTAGGCATGTCAGCAGAGAGCAAGACATTCACTGGCCTTAAGGAGCAAAACTTATTAAGGCCAATCTCAGTGGTAGGATTTTCTTTCATGAATATGCTATAACATTCCCTTAGGGACCACAACAAGTGCCTTTTCTGGATATGATGTTTTGTGTTGTTTTCCCGAACAGTGACAAAGTCTTTTCTACCTAGTGCTTGGCGAGAGATGGAGTCAAGCTGAAAGAAAACTTTAACAAGATTTACCGTCTCTTTTGGAAGACCCCTGTTACTTCTAGTGCACCTCTTTTTCCTAAGAAAACCTGAAGCATGTGCTAGTTTGAAAACCACAGCCTTTCGTTTTCTGGGGCTTTGGGGAAGCACTCTGCTGCTTACCTTACCGAGAGCCTTTCCTAGAGCTTGAGGTGTTTGGTAAGCTTGTGATACATCTTGGTCTTGGGAAGAGTTTTTTGCTTTCTTCTCTTTTTGTCTTTGCCTGCATTTTCTGACTCTTTCACGGGTGAGTTTCTTCCTTCTTGCAACTTCACTTGGACTAAGGGCTTGACCTTTTCTTTGCACTCTTTTCCTTTCTTTGTCTTTGTTCTTATAGGCCTTATACCTCTCAACATCTACTTTCAATCTTGTTCTAAAAGTTCTGGCCCTTTCAGCCCCTGTTTTGACATTTTTTTTAGAAAAGAAAACCATCTTGTTTATGTAACTTTCAGAGTACAATGAGATGTCATAATTTGATTAAAACTACTGGTCAGTCGTTTTCTTTCAAAGAATGTTCAGAGCATGCTCTGAAAAGGAATGTGCTGACCAGCAGCTATAATTACAAAACAGCTTTTGTTTTCATTTAATTTTCAAGGCTTCTATACATTGCTGATAGTAAACTTAACTCATAAAAATAAATGAGATAAGCAATTTTTTAGCATGATAATGCACATAATATAATTTTCAAGAAAAAATTCACAGACAGTAATGTCCGTAACACTTAGTGTAATGTCCATAACACAACCTTTTAGGGAACCAAAGCAGTTAAGATAGACCTCAGAGAAATTTAATGTGACTGAAGAAAATATAACTTTGAGCATTTGCCAATAAAAAATATGCATTAAATTGCTGTTTTGTATCAACCACATTGCACTATAATGGCTTGCCTTTTGCACAATAAAAAAATACTCAGAGAACAAATTTTTAGCTCCCTCTGATCTTGACTGAAAGGCCTGTTACAGACATTACAGCTAAAACAACCGTCAATTTTATTCACGACTTTTAAGGCTCAGTTCCCGTGATTTATGAAACGTTTGAAGGAAACAAATTATACTGCATATTGTGAACAGGACAGGAGATCAAAGTTAAAAAATGCTCTCTGAGTGTAATGTCCGTAACGGTGGAATTTCCCCTTTACACTCTTACTAAAAGTGAATTACCTGACACATACCTGTATGCCAACAATGTCAATTAAATCTTGCTAATCTTCCTCGAAGACAGTACTTCTAATAACTTCAGAAATGTCTTTCCAGTCGGTGTAAACCTGAAATCAAAATGAATAATAACGAAAAGCCCAAATTACAATCTGAAATGAGGTGTTTTAAGTTAAGGGGAAACTGCATGCCTATCTCAGTTTTTTTTATAAGAGCATGCAGTGACCTTCCCTTACGACCTGTGTTCTGTAATTGCCACAAATTGTTAAATTAAAGTTAAGAATTTTGTTCAAAAAAGCAAAATCAGCTTGACTAGTTTTAACTTAACGTGTCTGGATTTTGCCCCATATCTTACTTCTCATAAAACTGTCCAAGGTGTCTTCCAATTAAGTAAAAAAAGACTTGATTATTTGATTACCTTTAAAAAAAATTGGTAGAACACTTCTGCTGCATAATCAGATAGCTGAGAAAGATCAGCATTGTCCACCTTCTGCCTTTTCTTTCCTCGTTTCCCTTTAGCAACCGACCCACCAACACACTTCTCTGACAGCTCCACATATCTTTCCTTGATTTCATGTAGTCTGCTCTGCCAGAATTCCAGTCTTCTTTGAACTTCTTTTCCAGTTTCTAAGGAAAACAGGTTAGGTAGTCACATCACGAAGTGTAAGGGGGTATTCTTTTTAAGGGAGGACTATTATGCAAGAACACAAACCACTGGGTGTCCTTTACATGCTAAGGAACATTCACTCAGTTGGGATGCAGTAATCTGATGCAATAATGATGTACCCTTGATATACAATGGTCACTGTCTTCATGGGGTTGTATTAATAGTAACAGTGTTAGCTAGCCTATCACAACTTCCAGTGTAGATGGATGTAAATGCAGTCATTAATTGAAACTGTCTGGTTTATCACAGTCAATGGGAAGGAAAGGTTTTAAATAACAGTATAATGATTGTAACATGTACCTGAACCTGTGAGGGTGAAAGTCTCCTGCTTCGAACCAAAGTCTCTGGTGAATGTGTCTGGAATAGCCATGTCCTGATAATACTAGAACAAATTATTACAAATTCATTGAATATTTTAAACATTTTTTAAAACCATTTTTTTCAGTGTATGTTTCTACATAATACACAAAAAATATTATTGTGTGTTGCACTGGTTTAAGTGAAACATTCAAATCATGTGATATCCTGAGCCATACCTTGATTCTATCATTGCAAAAATAATGTGACTTTATTCAGCAGTGCCTCTTTAGCACTTTCTGGATCAGCAAAATATGACTTCAATTTGTCATGAAGCAAGGAGTTCCTGACAATCGTTTCAATGTTTGTGAGGAACTCACGTTCAGTAGAACCTTCAGGAAAAATAGTACAGAAAGAAACAAACAGGATTTAAATTCACAACTTAATGACATCTTCATTACAAACCAGTGTTACAGTTTTCATATTAAGAGCGAATGCACAGAAAAATCGAGCAAAATCGGCAAATCGTGGCCACAGCTAAAAACCTAACTTACCCTCATTTTCAGTCTGTAATAAGGTTTTAATGAGTTTATAACACTGCTGAGGTTTAAATTTCAAAATGCGGCCGAGTTTGGGAATTATTTAAGATTTTCGATTTCAACGGTCTGCGGGCCTAAAATTAGCCGCCGAACACGGCAATATAGCCTAGCGACAGAAATGAGCTGACTTTCATAAACGAGCGAATATATTGGCAATCTTCCACTTAAATCTCAAAAAGCAGATATCTAACAATTTCTGAACGGCACATTTTTTAGATTTAGAGCATAAAATATCGACGAACCAGCAGAATTTTGAAACGTAATTTGCATAATGCTTATAAATACAACAATTTACCGCTAAAACCAAAATCGAATTTTCTATATGGGGGAATTCTCCAAATCACCCCAAATCCCGCTTACTACCTAATGAGATATAGTACTTCAACATTATCTGAAAGTTAGTCTGGTGTTCTCGCGAACGCTTGTAAAATAGATTGATTATTTTGAGGTTATTTTGCCCCAAACAACCGCTAATTGACCCTAGGGTCAGTTGACACGTGCACGTCACCTTAGTTTTATGCATCGATTTGAGCTCGTTAAAAGGGAGAAACTAACAAGATTCTTTTAATATGTACCTGTTTTAATGAAATACACGCAATCTTCAAGAGGAGAGGCCGTTCAATGGGTAATTTCTGTTCTTGAGATCTTGTAGATTGTACCATGGCGTCTGCGAGTGGACCTGAGTCTAGGTCTGTTTTCCCGTGACTGCGAAATCAGAATAACATCAAGAAATAATTCTCCCTCGAATCTTCGTAAGTGAATCAGCTTTGCTGTGCCTTACTTGAGATAAAAAGTGGGCCGAATAGCAAAACAATTCTAGCGCAATTTGGATCCTTTGTGGAACGCAGTGTATTGCTGAGCGAAAAGTGAGTAAACAAACGTAGGAAAGTACGTTACCTTTGATTGCGTGACCAGCCAGTAAACGATAGTCTCCAGCGAAAAATAGGATTCGCAAAAATCTTGCTGATGTATATTTAACAGTTTGTTACTATAAATTTACACCTGGTTTGTCTAAAACTTTAAACAATGCATATCTGTCCAAGAGTATAAGAATGTTTCGAAAGATCCACCCCTAAATAACTGTGGGCTACTCCTTTTTCCCCATCACCGATGTGCACTTCCTTCCCACTGTCTTTTGCATGAGGCTTGTATGCCTTTTTAACTGTTATCGACACCTAAAACTGGCCGTTTAAGGCCTGGTTTAAGAACTTGACTGACTTAAAAAACCGTCGCGAACATGCGCCATTATTGTTGGACTTTGGAAGCTTTAAGCCCAAAATGATGGTGCAATCTCAAGAAATTTGACCGGGTCTAATTTTAAGACAGGGAACGGGTACTAAGAAAGGGACGGTCTCATTTAGCAACCCGTGGACAATCTGGGCATGCTTGCCTTCTGTCGCAGGGGCAACCTTTAAGGCCAGGTACGCCGCCCCCACCCGAGAGGATTGCATGGCATCCACCATTTCAGTCGCTTTTTTTACATCATGACCTTCAATTATTATGAATTATAATGCGGGCCTTGATCGTTGCCACCTTACCAGAAGTCTAATCTTCGCACTGTTAGACCATGAGAATCTCTATTATTATTCCATAAATGCACCATTTGACTTTTCCTTGCTCAGCTTCCGGTAAACCGATACTCCGAAGCAAAAATAGCTTTACAACGACTCTATCCAGGCCAGAACTCCTGATATCAACAAATATACCCCCCCCCCCAGCCCCCTCTAAAGAGAGCAAACGTTCCCCGAACTATTCACTTGATCCACCCCATCCCTTCGTTAAGAAAAACTAAGCACTCAGTTCACTGGACAAAACGCGCTCGTGAATATACCAAACTATAGCCGTTCATCCTACAAGCAATCTCAGTTTCAGCAAGCGTGGCCACGTTTCCAGTTGCTGTAAGATTAATTCGACACCTGCAACAGACACTGTAAATTAAATGGAGTGTTTTCACTCACGTGGCCAGCATCTATGCAAATTTATTGGAACAAAAGAAAGCGTTTGCATAAGAAAGGAGTTCAACTCCTACAGGATTGGTTTGGGACACCAACATGGCCGCCGTTTCATTGTTTTGGGACACCAATATGGCCGCCGTGATGTCATGTGAAAACACTCTATGCCTTGAAACTGTCAGGACGAGAAAGATTATAAAAGACTTAACAGGTGTGCGCGGCGGTTTCCTTTTCTTCTTTTCCTCCCATTGTAGCACTCAAATTCTGACCCTGATATTAATTCTAGTAGTAATTAATCGTTCCTGAGCCGATAGGCACACGGATACCAGTTTCTTGCAAAATATGCTGTGACATCCGTTTGCTCATCCCCTTTTCTGCCTTCGGCCGCTGATTAGGTTTGGTTCTGTGCTTTGAAATAACTTTAGGAACGAACATAATACGTGAGGGGCGTGTCCGGCTAAGGGCAAGTGACTCTCGGTGGTGAAGACATATACTGAGCTTGTCAGTATTTCGTAGCCTGTACCACGTCGCGAAAATAGAACAAGCCAAAGAAAAATAAGACGCCTTTCTTTCCCCAGCCCACGCAGGTTTTTCGCATTACTTTTTACTGCACAACTGATTCTACCTTTTCGAGCCGGAGCGAACATGGACGCCCTCCACTTCATTTTCGGCACCTGACTAAACGCAAGCGCTGACTTGTGCGCCTATGCCTCGTTTGCACTGAAGTAGC